ACCTACCTGCCAGCGGGCCCCACTACGCGATATTATCATAATCGTCGATATGACCAAGCCTCCGATGCTCAGGCTCTCAGGCTTTGGCTCACCGCACATATGAATCAGCTGCGACCCGAGCACGAATGTCAGGCTTAGCTGCGGGCTTCGCCTCAGCAGGTTTGGCCTCGACGCCTTGCGTCGCCCCCGTGGTGGAGGCCGCTGCCGGTCCCGCTGCAGGTGCTGCTTCGGGTCCGTCGGGGTCGACTGTCCGCTTCTTGCCTGCGAGACGCTCCACGTGCTTCTGGTGTCGGTCTCTCGCCTCGTTCGCTTTGCCCATAGACTCTTTGAAGACGTGTACTTCTGAGAAGGCGTCTTGCATCTGCTTTGCGATGTTGTTCCTGCGCTTCTCAAGCTCCTCGGTGTCGTGGTTCGCCTTGGTAGAGTCCACGTCAAGGCAACCATCGCAAGCAATGATGTTGGCCAGTTCCGTATCACCTTCGACCAGCTTGCGTACATTGATGTTCGTCAGTATTGGCTTGGTAGTATCAACGCGTCCAGCGTGTGATTGCTGTCGCTCATGTAGAATGTCTCGTGCCTCCTGGTCCGCCTCACGGAGCTCGCGCTGCCTTTTCTTGGCCGAAACCGTGCGGTCCGAGACCGTCTTCCTCCAGCTCTCGGGCTTCTCCTGGGTGAGTCGGCGCTCGAGTTTCTCCTGCGTACCGTTTGCCCCCTCCGACGTCACCAGGTTATATTGTGCAAGTTTCTGTAGCGCTTGTGCCTTGCCAGGAGCCGGCGGTGGTAGGGGGCCTGGAGTGAGGATGCCCGCGGTGACTACTGGCCCTATGCCAGTTGCCCCCAGGTCTCCCTTGCACCCCTTTTTTGTTCCCATCAAAGTGTTCGAGCTTTGTGGCCTTGGTGTCCTGGTGGTAGCCATCGAGGAAATCCTGAGATTGTGTCGAGTGTGTCCCCAGCCGTTGACCACAATGCTTGCAGAACAGAGTTTCTTTGGAATTTGTCTTTGCACCAATGTTGACATACAATGTGTCCTTTCGCACTGGCGACTGTCAGCCATGGGTCTGCCGCCGTGCTGGTCCAGGGCTCCCATTTCGTCCAGCTGCTGGTGTCAGGCGACTTGCTGGCTTGCACTCGGTCACGCCTCCGACGAGGCCGTTCTTCCCGGACCCACTGCTGAGGAGACATGTTGCCAGAGAAACGTGCGTGAAGAAAACTGTCGGCCGCCTGTTAAACCTCTAAACCCCTTGTGTGGCAGGCTGAGAGAGATCCAGGTCCGAACGGACCTTGACTGCCACGGCCCAACGGTATCCGATAGGCCTGGAGGCTTGCAGCACCCCCGAATGAACAGTGTAAGCCAAAAAGGCTACGGAAAGGCAGGAGGAGGAGGAGAAGGAGGAGAAAGAGGAGGAGCAGGAGGAGGAGGAGGAGGAGGAGGAGCAGCAGCAGCAGCAAAAACATCGGGAGCAGGAAGAGGATGACAGCGGGAAGGGGGGGATGGAATGATGTTCTCGACGGAAACTGGAACCGCGAAGAGGCGAGGAGGCGGAGGAGGACGAGGACGAGGACGTGGACGTGGACGTGGACGTGGAGAAGGAGGAGGACGAGGAGGAGCAGCAGGGGGAGGAGAAGGGGGATGAGAAGGGGGAGGAGAGAGGGGGAGGGGGGAGGAGGAGGAGGAGGAGGAGGAGGAGGAGGAGGAGGAGGAGGAGGAGGAGGAGGACGAGGAGGAGGAGGAGGAGGAGGAGGAGGAGGAGGAGGAGGGGGAGGAGGTGGAAAAGGAGGAGGAGGACGAGGATGAGGATGGAAGGCGTGAGAGGGCTCTGAGAGGGGACGGGTGCCTGGCTGGGATTGCCCGCCGCCCCCGGCCCCGAGCACCGCGGCGACCCTCGGATGCTCCGGCCGCGGCGCTGCCCCGAAGCACGGCGGCGGGGTGGGTGGGATCCCAGACGTTTTCCATCTCCTCCTCCTCTACCCTCCTCTCCCCCCCTCCCTCCCCCCTCCCTCCCTTCTTCTCCCTCCCCTCTTCCTCTTCCTTTTCCTCCAGCCCCCCCTGCTCAGGAAATTTCCGCTCCAGGGGCTGGAGGGTTCCGCGACCGTAAACGACTCTACACGATGCGGCAGGCCCCACCCCCGAAGGCGCCCCGCATCTAGCATCTAGCACACTGTACGCATATGCGTGTCAGAGTTTCTTTCTCGTGTGCTGTTGTGCGTTGTGGGGGGCATGTTCACGTTCATCCACTCGAACGCGCAGCATGCTGATGTGGATCGGCTGCACGACATATCAGAAAAATTCATATATACGGATACCGTAGCGGTCACAAGCACCTGGGGAGCGTGCGGCACTTGATCGTGCGCCCAACTTCCCGAACTTGAAGTTTCATTTTGCGGTCAGGTGCGGGTACCAGCCTGGCAATCATGTCAACAAATCATGTGGGATTGCCCTATTGCCGAGGAGGCGGGTCTTCAAGCAACGTTCTTGCGGTCCCTGCATCGTTTCAGGGCCGCGCGGCCGTGTTTCGGCTTCTATCGGGCGGGTTCGATGTGCTGATCCCCGTGGTGTATTTCCCTCCTCGGCCCAGCTCTCGGCGAAATGGCAAAGGGTCGCATGTGCGCGCATCCACGGCGCAGGAGAAGTATCGAGCGACAGTGGATCTTCTCCCCCAGTGGCTCAAGAAGGTGCTGCCGTGGTCTCAGAAGCGCTCTGCCCTGTTCCTGGGTTTAAACCTGAACGACTCGGTCGGATGGAGGGCTCGACAGGGACACGTGGTGGATTGGGCGCGGTTGCGTTTGCTTGGCCTCTTCGCCCGACACGAGCAGCGCTTCGCGGCCGGTCAGATGCTGGAAGTGTGCGAGAAGCACGCAGTGGCCATCGCGTCGGCCAGCTACGACATCGGCGACACTGTTTTTCGGGGCCACCTCATCGAACTGTATGGACTATGTCGCAGTGTTCGACTGGCAGATGAAGGATGTCCAGTTCTGCGGTGCGTTCAGATGGGCGAATCTCGGGCTGAAGCTCGGGGGTCGAAGGGTGCTGTCGGATCACGTACCGACTCCGGTCAAGATGAGGTACGACTTCGACTTGAGCTCCAGTCGGGCTGAGGGGGTGCGCTGGGACTTCGACAGACTAGCGAGTGCGTTGAGGTGTGGTACAGGAGGCGCTGAGTTCATGGGGGACTTGGAGGTGCAGTTCGGCGAGGCTCCTGACTTCCATGAACTTCTTCTGCATGAGACGGCGCCCGACATCGTTTGGGAAGAGTGGGCGGCCCATGTGCATGCGACAACTGAGCGGCAATTCTCGAAGGGCAAGGTAGAGGGCCCCCTCCTGGTTGCCTTCCAGAAGGAGCGGTGTCGTCTTCTACGGGAACGGCGCGGTGCTCGCGAACGTGGCGCGGGCGACCTGGATCCCAGCATGCCGCTGGCCAGATGCAGTAGGCGGCGCGATCATCTACGTCGAGGGCGCCGCGAGGAAGCCGTCGCACACGTGGTCGAAGAGCTGGGGCAAGCGCGGGCGGGCCGTAGGCATGCGGAGGTGTGGCGCCTGGCTCATGAGCTGGCTGGGCGGCGCAGTGGCCCCCGGCGGCGCTGGTTCAATGTCGCGGGGACCTGCGCCCCGAGGGTGGAGGAGATCAGGGGCCACTTCAGCAAACCTGGGCTCTCGGGGGGTTTCTTGACCGTGCCTGTCGACTTCAGCGACTGCCGGACTCGGCTGTTCGAAGACCTCCGTCGGCCCGCTACGCTCGGCGACAACTTCTGCCGCGTCGAGCTAGGGCGGGGCGACTTGGGGGCAGCGACGGAGCTTACGGCGAAGGCTCCGCGGCGAAGGGCGGCGCCTCTCCATTCCATCCCGTCCGAGCTGATCACGATGGCGCTGGGCCCCATCGAGGCGATTTGATGGCTCGTGCCGCAAGCCACGTCGGAAGAAGCAGGGTGATGACGGAGACGACGGTGGGGCTGATGAATCCGCATCCAGGCCGCAGGTTGAGCACGCTCCTGGACACCGTCTGGCAGGTGATAAGCGTGGTCTGGGCACGGGAGCGGTTACGATATCGAATGAGCTCCGTCTGAGGGCGCTGCAGACATTTCATCGCATACGGCGTGCGCAGCGGACGCCTATTGCGTGGCGTCAATCTCGAGCGACTGGCCTGGGCCAGCGCAAGAGTAAGGAAGTTTTCGCGGCGTGACGTCACGTTCGTGGATTGCGTCGGATGGGCGCGCTGTGGCACAGGGCTCAGCTGCAGCGAGGCGCTCCTGATGGCGCGCCTGATCGCTCGCGTGGGCACCATGTGAGTCGGAGTCGGGAGGAGGCGCTCATTTGTTAGGGGGTGTTGCTCGGCCGCCTCCTCGAGCTGGGCGTTTCGACGGTCTCATCTAAGGAGGACATGCCGACTGCGTTCGGGCGCTCTCTACCTTTGGGGCGCTGCGTTCTACGGTGGAGGAGGCGATCAGAGAGGACTCGCAATGCTACTTCCACCGGCGGCGCGAGACGAGCACGTCCACGATTCGGGGTGCGGACGGCGAGCAGACGACGCATAACGTGTGCGGTGCCCTCATGGGTGACAGCCCTGCTGAAGTGTTCTGCGCTCGGACCGTTCGTCGGCCGGCGCCGCCGTGGGCGGACTTGATGCGCTCGCAGACCTGGCGCGGGCGGCCTCCACCGCCACCTCGACTGTCGACCTACGCGGAGCGGTCGGAGCAGGAGCTGGTGCCGCCGTCTCCCCCAGCCGACCCTGATCGGACCTCGCGGCCCATCGAGGCCATCTGCGCGGCGCGGGCCCCGATGCTGCAACGGCCCGTGGACCTATCGTGCAGGATCTACGCCAACGACACCGACGGGGCGCACGTGGTCACGTCTGCCAGGGATACGCAGTGCACCTTGGAACAGGCGCGCGCGCGCACTTGAGCGCTTTGCTCTCGACGGATTGATATTCTCACAATGCTGGGGAAAGTTGCGCCTCCATCTTTCGTCGGTCCAGGGTCGAAGGGTCGGAACGCAGCCGCGTTTGGAGGGCGCTTTCGGCTCCCTGGGCAGGTTCAGGTTGACAATTTTGCGTCGGGTATCCAAGCGGCGGCGAACGGGGGCGTGCAGGGCGAGCTTCAGAGGCGGATCCTGGCACGCAGGCGGGGGCGCTATTCCATAGGGCGCTTCTGGTCAAAAAATCGCGTGTGGAAGTTTACTCGCATAGTCTTCGGGGCCGTCGTCCAGGGAGCTCTTCTGTCATGCCTGACGGCGTTTGTGCTATCGGGGGCCCAGGAGGCGAGGTTGGCCCCCCTAGGGTTCGCCCGCGAGATCCCCAGGGGGACGCGTGCAAGAAATGGGGGGAGAAGGATGAGGGGGGCAAGGAGGTTCTGGATGAGCGGGGCAAGGCAGTCGTTCGCTATCGAGTTCAGTCGGACGTCGTGGTCTTTCGTCGAGTTGGAGTCGCCCCAGCTGGAGTTGAATTACGCGTGCGCAGGCTCAGACAGTATCAGCGATGGGTCAGGCACCCTGATCGACACCCTCAGTAGATTGGATCCCTCTTCGGACATATGCCGCTAGACACTCATCCCACGTTGTGTGAGCAGGGATTTTGCACGAGCGTGCGAACCCCTATTCCAAGCGCTTCCCGTCCGACGTCCTGATTCTCGTCTAGAAGGCCGAGGCTGAGCTACTCGAGTAGTGACTGTTCATGGGTGCCTCAGAGGAGCCCCATGTGAGGCTGTGTGCACGGGCCCGCTTTATGGATCATGACCTTCGTGAGCCATTTCCGGCTTTGGATCTTGGTGCCTCGAGGGCTGCCGCGCTGACGGCGGCGACCCCTCCTCCAGAAGGTCTGCGTGGTCCCCCTTGTTCCTCGCGAGGCAACTGAGGGTGATCTGGAGGTGCCCCCGCCGGCGGCGTCGATCTGGCAGCGCGACCCGCCGAACTCGGAGGGGGCGGTTTGCGGGGGGATCTTCGCGACTGGGCGTGCCCTTCTTGCCCATCGACGGTTCTCCAAGGGTGGCGGGCACTCCGGTAGGTCCGTAATGCGCACTCTTTTATCGTGACTAACAAGTATTTCCAGTGGGCATAGCTCTCGTGCACGGCGCGTTGCCCAGGGGCATGCGGCGCAGGCGGTGCAGAGAGGCATGTGCCCCCCATGCGCCACCCCGTTCCAGCATCCCGCCCTGGGCCCCGTGGACCCTTGGCGCCCGCTGGCTGGCCTTGCTCGTGCGACTATCTTCGTGGCAGCGCTAGAGGAGCCCATGGGATGTGCTGTAACTGTATGGGGCCGTTTGAGGATCGAGCTGCTCTCAATTGCCACCTGCGCCGGCGCTCTCTTCGAGTTCACTTCGCCTGTCTGGGGCCTGATGCGCCGCCTGGGAGTCGAGGCGCTCGAGGCGGCCGCCCATTGTTCGAGGTCGCGCGGGGGTGGGGGGCCGGGATCGAGAAGGGTCCGATCTAGCTCGGCAGCCGCGCCCCGCATGCGCGGCGGTCGCAGGCGGCGCGGGCAGCGCGGCCGGGTTCCGGCAGGCGGCGAGCGACGCCGGCACCAGCAGCCCGCGCAGGCTCCTCGCGGCCAGGCAGCGGCTGCGGCGCCAGCATGGGAGAGGGACGAGAGGATGGAGATCGGGCAGTCGCACGCCCTGCCAGCCGACGCGTTGTCCAAACTGCCGAGCATGGGCCTGCAGATGCGTGCGAAGCTGTTCCCTGTGCTCATGAGTGCGGTCCCCGGCTATTCCTTGAACGTTCGGATGCTGCTGGCGGCGGAGATCGCGACGGTCGCGCGATGGACGAAGAGACGGACCTGGCCAAGTCGGGCTTCCAGGCAAGGTGGGCGCACGCGACGGGGGCGGCGAGGTTGAGGGAGAGAAGATGTGCGGCCCGAGCAAGCCCTTGCCAGAGGTGACGATGGGTCCAGCGCGCGTGCAGATCTTGCTGGCGGCGGCTCGCCGCGCGTCCGAAGCGGGCGAGAAGGTCGGAGTCCGCATTGCCAAGGAGTGGGCCGATCGCCAAAAGCGCCTCGACGAGACGACCTCGATCACGGGCCTGACGATGCTCATCAAGGGGTTTCGCGCCAGCAGCGCGTGCAAGGACGGGCTGGCGAAGCTGGTCTTCAGTCTGTCGGATCCCAGCATGCAGAAGGCATTCCAGGAGTGCGTAGTACAGCTGGGAAGGGGAAGTTCGACCTGGCATGGCTCCGCGGTCGCGCTCCGAGAGGCTGCCCCAGCAGGCGTTGGACGATCTCGAGCTGTGAAATCGGGCGTTGGAGTGCAAATCCAGGAGATGGCCGCCCTGGTTCCGTCGCACTTTTGTGGGCGCGCGAGTGCCCCCGACCGCGGCGACGAAGAGAAGGTCGCCAGCTCCCTGTCCCTCCGAGCGAGAGGACTCGGCGATGATGAGGCTCCGAGCTCTTCAGAGCGCTGCCCTGGTGTAGGGGTGGGAGGGGGGCTCGCTGGCGCTAGGTCGCAACATCCAGGAGATGGCCGCCCTGGTTCGTCGTCGCAGTTCTGCGGTTCTGATGTGGCTCATGGGCAGGATGGCGCGGGCGTCGTGTCGAGGTCTCCGAGGGATAGACGCTTGCAGGATGAGAGGGGCATCGCGCGCGCGCAGTAGTGGCAGCGGCCACGCGACCACTCAGGTCGGGGTTTCAGTGCCAGTTCGAGTTCGCAGATGACCAGCACTGCGTCACACGTGACCAGGAGGAGGGTTACCACGTCGGCGTCGATGTCGGCCACGACGGGATCCCAACGACAGAGTTCTGCTCCGCCGACGCGTTGGAGGAGTGGCGCCGACGGCACGGGCTTCCGCGTCGGATGAGAGGGGCGGGCTCGTGACGCCTCTGTCCCAGGAGGCCCCGTGTGCCGCCGCTGCCGCTGTCTTCCCCGCTCCTCCTCCTCTTCCTCCTTTGAGCCGTCCTTCCTCGTCCTCTCCCTCCTTCAAGGACCTCGTGGCCTACGCTATCCGTTTTTGAGTTGGGCCCCGGGCCCGAGCCTCAGTGGCTCGCTTCTGATATGAAATGCGTGTTCGTCTCGATCCTGGGGTCGAGCAGTGACGAATTGGGGCTCCCCCTCGTCTGGCGGGGGGCTGAACTAAATCGTGCTCCTGCGCACGATAGGTCGCACGTGGCTACATGTTGCCCGCGCTCACAGTCATGTGGTCTCTCACAAGACAGACGGCCCGATATCGCTTAACCACCGCCACCACCTCCTCCTCCTCGTCCTCGTCGTCATCATCCTCCTCCCCTTCCTCCTCCTCCTTCTCCCCTTCCCCTCGCTCCTCTCCTCCTCAATCCGTTCCTGGTGAGTGGCTCAGACCTCAGGGGATCGACGTGGTGAGCAGTTCACGACGCCGGCTGTCTGGATCCTCTTCCTCCTCCTCCTCCTTCACCTCCTCGTCCTCCTCCCCCGCCACCTCTCCCCATTAGATCCCCTCCTCATCTCTGGCCCCCTCTCCTCTCCTCCTCTCCCCCCTTTTTCCCCCCCTCCTCTTCCTCTCCTCTCCTCGCCTCTCCTCCTCTCTTCTCCTCTCCCCTGTCCTCCTTTCCATACCTCTTCCCTCTCCTGCATGCCCTCCGTCCTCTCTTCTCTTCTCCCCTCCCTTTCTCCTCCTCTCCTATTCCTCCTCCTGTCCCCCTGTTTTCTCCTCCTCTCCTCTCCCGCCCCCCTGCTGCCCCCGCCGCGGCCTTGCCCCGAAGCAAGGCAAGGGGGGTGGCATATGTTGGCCAATTCGGGGGGAGCGGGCCAAGCGGCTCAGGCGGGACCAGAAGCAGGTCGGGGCCGACGGAGAGGGAGGGGCAGATCGGCTGCACGCTGCCGTTGCGCCCCCGTCGGCGTGCTGCTACGCCTGGTGTTTCTTCAACGACCGCTGCGATCCTGGCACCTCAGTTTTTTCGAGCTGGGTTTTTTCGCCCAGTTTCGGGCCCTGGGCCCCTCCTGCAAACCGATCTGGTTCGGGCAATGCCGCAGAACGATGCGGTCTGGCGCTCCAGTCGTGATCTGTCACGATGTTAAACTTTGTCCGGGACGTCGGGTTTCAGGGGTGATGCTCATGGTTTCCCCAGAGCCCCCACGACGGCGTGTCAGGCCTCAGGGACGCTGCTCTTGCTCCCCAGCTGCCCGGCCCGGATTTCTGGCGCCAGCTTCTTATTGCAGTGCGTCCCTCGGCCCCCTGTCGGCCGCGCGCGTGCCTCTCCCCCCTCCCCCTCCCCACCAGCCTTCCCCTCCCCCTCCCCACCAGCTCCTCCTCCTCCTCCTCCTCCTCCTCCTCCTCCTCCTCCTCCTCCTCCTCCTCCTCCTCCTCCTCCTCCTCCTCCCTCCTCCTCCTCCCGCGTCCGCGGCAGGGGGGCCGGGAGGCGGCCAGCTGGGCTGGCTGCAGTCCGAGGCCACGGCCGTGGCGGACGAGGCCCGCTTCGAGGCGTTCCTGGAGGCGGGCGCGGGTGGTCCTTGGCTCCTCGCCGTCGTCGTAGGAGGAGGAGGAGGAGGAGGAGGATCGGCGGCAAGCCCACAGGGGGGAAGTGAGATGGGGGAAGGCCCTCTCAGAGGGCGGCGGGGCTTCTCAGGAGCCGTCGCGCCTTCTGAGAAGTGTGATGTGCCTTCGGGGAAAGCATCGGCAACTTGTCAGAAGGCTCGAGACCTTCCGAGCCTTCTGAGATTGCCCGCCCCCCTCACTCCCCCAGGGCTCGCCGCCGAAGGATGAGGAGTAGGAGGAGGCGTATGGGGCGTGAGTGTGTGGGTTTCCGTGGGGATGGAGTGGATGGGAACGTCTGCAGACACTCTTGTTGTTTGCATCCCTGCTGTACAGTACCAGCCTTGGGCCGGGTTGCACTCGTGCGTTTCTAAGATCACAGGTGCGAGACGATACAGCTCGATGCGAGAGGGAGGGAGGTGGATGATGAGGAGACTTGATCGTTCCAGAGTGTTCGGGGGCACCCTCAGAACGCTCCCGTGCACCCCGCGCTCGGTACACGCTTCGGACCATCCGAGCCAGCACTCGTGGGTATAGTTGTTCGCACCTGATCTGCTCGTAGTCAGCCTGCCCTCGTCCTGAGGATCCCCTCACCTCTCGCCGCCGCTGCCACGGACGATGCCGCCGCCGCCGCTACCGCAGCTGGTGCGCCTCTCGGCATTCTCCTTGTCGTCCTCGTCGCTGTCGCCGTCGTCGTCGCCCTCGTCCTCGCATTTTCAGGGCAAGCGCGCGTCAAGAAGTACGGCTCGCGCTCAGCCAGGTACCCAAGGCTTCTTGTTGTCGGATGGGGGTCGCCGATCGAACGGGGGCCCCCCTCTGCGTCCAGCAACCCGCACCCATATCCTCAGTGCGTCCCTATCTTGCCCTTCCCCGCTCCTCCCTCCCCCTCCCTCCTCCCTGTCGGTGTGGCGGCGTGCTGCTCTGTTGTCACAGCAGTGCGCCAGGCATGGGCGCCAGAGCGCTGACGGGCCGCACGGGCGCGCGCGCGCGCCGAGGCGCGTCCCCACTGCGAAGAGCGGCTGCGGCGGCTCCTGCGGCAGCCGCTGCGGCCCACGTCCGCGGAGGGGCGGCCGGGAGCCCCTGCCGCGCCCCGACGCCGCCACGGCGGCCACGACGACCATCGATGGCGTCGGCGTCGGCGGACGACGGCGACGACGAAGACGAGGAGGAGGAGGAGGAGGAGGAGGAGGAAGAGAAAGAGGAGGGGGAGGAGGACCAGTATAATCCCAAGACGCGTGAACGATGATGGGGACACACCATCCCTCTTAGTTCCCCCGTCGTAGGTTCTACACAATTCCACTGAGGGAAGTTACCCGTTGGGAGACAACTCTTCGAAACTCCTGAAGCGTGCCAAAATCCGTTTTCAGGACTTCATCGTCACGAGTCAACCTGACTGTTGCGTCTGGACGATCCTGAACCGTGCCAGAACACATTCCTGGGACTTCAATTCCGCGTGTCAACGTAGATCTGGTGCGCTCTGATAATCCTGATACGTTCTAGAACACATTTTCCGCAAGGTTAACCCAGAGAACCCGAGACATTCTTGCAGTTGTCTGAAACGGAAACGCGCGGCGCTAAGACGATAACAACACTTTGAAAAAGGAACCGCCCTCAATATGCGAAACTCTTGCAAATGTTTACAACGAATGCTCTCGGCAGTAATGCGAGAGCCACATTTTTAGCAACCCGCCCTCAATCCGTGAAGCTCCTGCATTTTGCAAGACGAATGCGCGCGGCCCTGAGGCGATAACCACATTTTGAAAAGGAACCGCTCCCAACCCGTGAAACTCTTACACGTGTTTAAGACGAATGCGCGCGGCGCTAAGGCGCGAGCCACATTTTGAAAAGGCGCGCCCTCAATCCGAGAGACTCATGGAATTATTTACGACGGATGTGCGCGGTGCTATTGCGAGAGCCACATCTTGAAAACGACCCGACCTCCATCTGGGAAGCGGTAGCCAGTGTCTAAGCGTCAGGCTCATAAATGGTAAGGAAGTCTCAGGCGAAACGCTCGGCCTGTCCTTCCGACCGGCCTCGGGGTGCGACAGGAAGGAGCTATTCAGAAGGAGAAGGAATGGAGGAGGATGATGATTAGGAGGGGGAGGAGGAGGAGGACAAGCAAGGAGGGGAAGGTGCAGGGGTGGGAGGGCTATGCGGGAGGAGGGTTGGAGAATGACGAAGAGGGCGCATGGCAGGATAATATGAGCAGGGGGAGGAGGCAGAGGAGGTGGGAGAAGGCAGGAACGATTAGGGTGTGAGGATAAGGGTGAGGCAGAAACAGGGGGCAGAGGGTGAGGATGAGGAAAAGAGGGGACAGGCATGAATCTGATCAATCGAGAGGACGAGGATGAGAAGGGGGAGGCCCCCGAGGAGGGATAATATGATAACGAGGAGGTGGCCACGGTGGAGGAGGGAGTCGATATCCCCTTGAATGGAAGAGCAGGGGAAGGGGGACGGGCATTGACACGAGGGGGCGGAGGAGGACCGAGGCCGAGCAGGAGCAGGCGGGAGGCGTGGAGGGGATGGGTGGGGGAGGGGTCGGGGACCGTTGGCCAGGGCGCAGGCGCAAGCCCGGGTGGATTGGGGGATGGGGGGGGATGGCGCGGCGGGCGCTGCACGTCTGACGGCGCAGCCCCCTTGCGCAGCCGCCCAAGGCTCCGCAAGGCTTGGGGCTGCGTCCCCGGGATGGGGGCGGTCCAGCCTTTGCGGCCGCGCGTGTGTTCGTTCCCGTTGGTCGCAGCAAAGACGGTGGAGAATTGAGGCGAGGAGGAGGAGGAGGAGGAGGAGGAGGAGGACGAGGAGGAGAAAGAGGAGGGCGCTTGTCGTGAAGGATGAGGGATAAGGAAGGCTCAGGGAGGAGGATGGCCACGATGAGGGCCAGGGGGGCGAAGAGAACTCGGAGAAGTAGGAGGAGGAATAAGGGCATTGGGAGCTCGATGGACGGACGAATAGGACATGGGCGAGGAGGGGAGAGAGGAGGACGACGAAGGCGATGCCGGGGAGTGGGAATCTGAGAGAGGGGACGTGGGCGTGGGAAGGAGGACGAAGATGGGCTTGCGAATCGAAAGGGGGACAGAGGAAGGATGCGAGAAGATGAGATCGAGGAGGGGGACGGGGACACGTCTCGCAGTTCCGCAATTGCGGGACCCGGCCCCCGCCGTGCGGGCACGCGCGCAGGGCCCCTGCCCCACTGCCAGAGCCACTACCGGGACGGGGTCGCGCCTGCACTTTGCCCAGGGCATCGGCACAGCGTGCCCCACTTCGGTGCGCACGACCAGACCAGACCAGACATGGGGGAGGAGGAGGAGGAGGAGGAGGAGGAGGAGGAGGAGGAGGAGGAGGAGGAGGAGGAGGAGGAGGAGGAGGAGGAGGAGGAGGAGGAGGAAGAGGAGGAGGAGGAGGAAGAAGAGGAGGAGGAGGAGGTGGCGGGGTGAGCAAGAGGAGGGTCAGCAGGGGGCGGTGGAGGATGAGTGCGAAGATGGCATGTGAGACAAGGCAAACAAGGACGAGGAGTATAATGATTACAGGACCACCTCGCCAGGTCGAACGAGTCAGTGGGCCACGCCCCCCACCTCCTTCCCATGACTTGTGGCACAACTTGATATTGGGACTGGCGCGCGTTCCCTCCAGCGAGTGGAAGGCGCTCGCGCGTGGCCGCGCTTCCGACGACTTGGCGAAGGGAAGCTGCCACGGGCCGCGAGCGAATCTCCGCGAAAGTCCTCGCAGAGCGCGGTGAAGACGAAACACACGCCGCGCAGAAGCGGCACTGCTACTCTCACGCAAAACACTCGCAACTTTTTGGCGAAAGCCACATTTCGCCTGCTCTCGCGCGGCCCCGCCTCCGTTCTCCCGCGGCTCGACGACCAAAAACCAAGCCCGCGCACGAACGAGAGCGCGAACCCGCCCCCAACGCCTTGGCGAGTGAGTGGGGCCTCTGTGCCGCGCCGCTCTCGGCCGAGATGTGCGCGGCAGCGAGTCGGCAGTCCCATCTCGCCCGCGCGCGCCATCTCTGCTGCTGACGGGTTGACGAATTGGCCCGCGCGGCGCCTCGGGCGGGGACCTGGCGGGCACGGCAGAAGGAGCGCGGCGCCGTGGCGAGAGCGACGCTCCGCCTCTGCGCCATGCCGCTGCCCGCCCCCGCGCCCTCCTCTTGCCGCGCACGCCTCGACCGTCGGGACGCCGACACGTCGCGGAATGGGCCCCTTGCAAGATGAGAGCGACGGTCAAAGTAGAGGTGACGACGATGACCTCGAAGACAAACGAAATTCCTGTTGCAAAGACCTGTAAGTGCCACCCCACTCGAGTGTGCGCCGACCCCTGTAGGATCGCCTTGAGCGCCGGCCTAAAGCAGCACAACGTGTCAATGCAAAGACTCGGAGCCATCACAGTTATGGAAGTGGCCGAAACAACATGGTGACACTTTCTACTCCCAAGCTCTCAATTCACGACGTGCCTGAAAACGGATGCCAAGCTTCCTTTGGGGGGGGCAGCCGTCGCTCCCGCCGGCTGCGGCCAGCCTCCCGCCAGCTTCCACCAGCGACCCCCGCCCAGAAGGGGGGCGGGAAACGGCCCAAGAAGTCAAGCCGCAAGGCCTTCAAGGATACGCCTGGCAAAGTCCGCCGCTGTGGCCGGATGAAGCCGGGGCGTCCGCACGGAGTTCTGGAGGAGCGAGCTCAGCGCCTCGGCCAGGACAGTCGCTTTCGGAGCCGTTTGTCCCGTCCTCGCAGCCGGGGCCAGCCCCTCCGTCGGCCGGGCCGGCACCCCCGACTCCTGGCCTTCTGGCGCAGGAGCAGGGGGTCCTGGGCGAAGCTGCCACCGAGAGGCGCGGCGGGCCGCCCCAGGAGCGACATCTTCCGATGGCAGCAGGAACGATGGAATGTTCGAGGAACAGGGTACTCGTTTGATGGCTGTCATCAGTCCACAACCGAAGATGTGCACGCAGCCGACGCCCAGGAGGAAGTTCGAAAATGAAGTAAACGATTGAACGCTGATCAAAGCAAGGCCATTCCAGCCACCATGTCTCATGGAGAGAACCATCACCGGGGTTGGCCAGAGGGAGTTGGTCATGAGGGTTGGTCGGGTTCTTGGGGGGTGGCGGGGGGGAACAGGCATATCTTCTTTGCAAGGGAGGCTTGCGCCATTGCGAAGCTTACCCCGTCTGGTGCCGAGTCCCCGTCTTCATTCTCTTCGAAATGCAAGGCGCTGTCATCTTCCTCCTCTTCGTTCTGCCTCGCGCCCTCGCTTTGCGTTGCCGCCGAACAGATCGAGTCGGGCAGCGGCCCTGATCCGACGCCGCCCGGTTGATTTGTGCGGCGCACGTGCGGAACTGCAGCACCTCCCCATGCTCCAGATTTAATTCGTTGTATATGAACCACGGTGCAGATCGAAGAGAATCGTTCCTGCCTGGCACGCTGTGTCCAGCAGTTTTGTAAGTCTGCTCGGGCTGCCGCAGCCGTGTCCCCGCTGCTGCAGGTTCGTCGACCCTGCCTCCCTCCTCTCTTCAGCCTCATCGTTACCATGCGATGTTGCGCAATATCTTTACAACATCGTGGCCATTCCGACTCTTCGAGATTGAAGGTTGACTATCGCAACAAATCTCACCAACATCATTTTTGGTGCTGCAACTGTTAGGGGCCATGGCGTCTGCTGAAGCTGACCGCGGACAACAACAAACCATCGGCAGAGATTCCCTTATGTGCAGCCCATATTCCTTGCACTTCTCGCTGAAGAACTCTGTCTGCGAGCATCTGGGTATGAGAGCGAGTTCGCGTAGACTGGGCGCGACAACGACGACGACGCCGGCGGCGACGACGATGACAGTGACCACAGTGACGTCCTCTTCCCCTGGACATTCTGCAGGGGAGTTCAGGGAAACACAAGTGTAACAGCGAGGGGGCATTCCTCGTGCCGCTGTTACTACGGGGATTCAGGCAAGAGCACGTGGTGTCGAGGGGAACTTTTTTGTTCGTCTCTTCAGCGGCCAGATCGAATCTTGTCAGCCACCCCCAAAGCAGCGGCCAGGGGAGGCGAATGCAGGACCGAGAGCGGAGCGGCGATTGAGACCGAGAGCTCGCGGACAGCTGCGGAAAGCCGACGGGCATCCACGGTGCAACGCGTAATGGTGTTGTCGGAACCGGTGCCAGAAAGGGCAGGCGAGACCTCCGTTTGCCTCCAGGCGGCTTCCCCTGGGGGTGCCTGTGTGCCACGCCTGCTATATCGCGGTGAGCATATGGAACACCAAACGAGTGAAGTTTGGGTGGCCGGAACAGGCAGACGGCCTGACGGATACGTACACTCTTGACGTGACATATGGAGTGTCATGCCCCCTTGGCGGCTGCCTCCTGGGGTGCCTGAATTCTGCGCCTCCTGCATTGCGGTGGGTATTGCGGCACCAGCATCGTGCAGTCTGGTTTGCCGAAACAAGCGAGCGGCCGAAGACGTCCCAACAATCGGATCGCGAAGAATGGGATGTCATACTCTTTGGCGGCTAAATGTTGGGGTGCCCAGCTGCCACGCCTGCTAGATCGCAGCGAGCGTTGTACCACCAGCAGAAAACAGATGGGGCCGAAACAAGCAAATCAATTCAGACTCTCCCACAATCGCGACGCGGAGCCTACAGTGTCATACCTCTGGCGGCTCCCCTCCGGGGTGCCAGAATTTCACGCCTGTTCTATTGCGTGGGGCATTGGGCCGATTCGTTTTGGGCCAGTTTTTCAGACATCTTGGATATCTGTTCTGAGAGCCCCTGGACCTGGAGACTGGAACGCAAGGCGTGTGAGTTCGTACATCGTACAATTGCAAATGCAATCCTGCTTCGCAGTCGTGACTCAGGGCCGCTGCGCCTCTAGCGCACGCTGCTTCGTGGCGAGCGAGAGTCAGTTGAGCGGTAGGGCAGGCTGTCTGGTCAGAGTTTCAGAGCAGTGCTTCGTGTTCCTTTCGGGAGCGGGTTCCACGCAACCTCCTGCATCTTCCGTCCATCTCGAGGGCAGCGTGAAAGTCTGCTACGACCCACAGGCGGTGATGTGGCACACGGGCAAGATCCTGGAAGCAACGAGACATTACCTCAGCGCTGAGGGGGACGCCCAGAAGGGGAGACTCAAGGAGCTGGTGCAGCTCACGCCGCTGAGACCGCTCGAGCTCGCGCAGGGACTAGCCCCACCGCCAGCGCGCTGGGTGTAGGCGAACAACCTTCTTCATGCGGAGCTGGTGGCGCACGGAGCAGCCTTCCAGAGCGGGGGGGGCGCCCGTGGGGGAAGCCTGGCTTACATCATCGGGACGAAGCGAGGCCGCCGCCGAGGAGGAGGAGGACGAGGAGGAGGAGGCCGTAGGTGAGGGAGGGAGCCCGCCGCTGGGGCCAGCTCCACGGCGCGGCAGGAGCTCCTCCCACGCGCACAGGCCCCTTCTGGACTTATATCGGGGCTGAGGTCAGGAGGCAATGCCTGTCCAAAGCATCAGGCTGTGAGCGCAGGACGATTTGCATACCCAGGCATGGCGCGCATGCCAGTGTATGTATGCGTTTCTTTGTTGATATGTATATGTATGTACGTTTATTTATATATATATATATATATATAGATGCGTATCCCACAACAGTGCTAACCGAGGATCGTCCGATGGCGTTCCGCCGCCGCAGCATCCGTCCTTGTCCGCAGAAGCGTTACCTTCCTCTCCCTTCCTCGCTTTCCTTCTCGCCCGCCCCCCGTCCCTCCTCTCCGTTGCAGGCATCTTGCGGTTTTCTTTAGGGCCTCCTGGCGGCCCCTGGGGTGTTGTCGGGGGTCGGGGGCCTGCCCGTGGCCTCGGGGCCGTTTGGGGCGCAGTGGTTCTACCGCGCTCTCCCAGGGCCTGTCGTCGGGCAATGTCGGCCTCCCGGGCCGTCTCGGGGCCGTTTCGGGGCTCTCTCTCACACTCTCTCTCTCTCTCTCTCTCTCTCGGGCCTTCTCGGGGCCTTCTCGGGCCGTTTCGGGCCTTCTCGGGCAATGTTCGCCTCTCGGGCCTTCTCGGGGCCGTTTCGGGGCTCTCTCACTCTCTCTCTCTCTCTCTCTCTCGCTCTCTGAGAATTCACACTGGGCGAGAGGGAAGTCGGGCAGCAGGCCCAGGGCGGATGGTCCACCGAGCCGCGTATTGTTCTACACAGGAGTGGTCTGAGTTGTTTTTCAGGTATGTTCGTGCCCCATCAGGACGTATGTCGTCCTTCAAGATGGTGTTCCCGTCACGGCGTCGGCCTCATTTTAGGATCTGCGTTTTGCTTTTGTCATTCTGAACGGCGCTGTCGCCCCACCGCGGACCACTTTTCTGGGTCCGAGTCCTTCCTCATCGTTGACCCACCCTTCTTTCGCCTCCACCTCCTTCCCCTGCTCCTCTCAAGTTCCTGCTGCTTTTTTTGTCCTCGTCCTCCTTCCTTATCCTCCTTTCCCTCCCGCTCCTCCTCCTCCTCGTCGTCCGCCATCTCCTGTCCCTGTGAACGCAGCTCCCCTTTTCCGATTCCGCATCGCACAACGATGTCGTTTTTGAGCCCAGATCGACTACGACACGCGTCGGTGGATGGAGAACTTACGCATCGCAGAGAAGGATGGATTGGCTGGGGAGGGATAGGACGTCCGATACGGCGCGAGCACGCCCAGCTTGCCCTTTCCCCGTCTGCTCCATCCCGACCCCCCGCCCGCCGCCTCTCCGCGGTCGGCTCTGCCTGCTGCCGAGGATCCGCGGGCCTGCCCCGCGAGGACAAGTGCCAGGAGCTTGCGCGGGCTCTGCAGGCGGCGGCGGCGGCGAGGAGGAAAGCGAGGGCGAGCGCGACAGCGAGGAGGAGGATGAGGAGCAGGAGGAGGAGGAGGAAGAGGGAGGAGGAGGAGGAGGAGGAGGAGGGAGGCGGCGGCAAGGTCGAGAAGCGGCAAGTTCGTTGGTCTCGCGCCATATCTGACGGCCGTCCCTTTCCGCCCATCTCTTTGTTCCTCTATCCGCAAACGTGGGTCATGGCGGGCCTGAAACCCTCAAACAACGCGAGCTGTGCACAGCGGTGCGCATGTGGGAGGGGGAGGAGGGGGTGGAGCAAGATGATACACATAAGAAAGAGGAAGAGGAGGAGGAAGGATGGGGACGAGGCGTGACAGCACCAGCAGAAACAGGAGTAGGGGGAGCGGGCGGAACAGGAGGGCCAGGGAACGGCGGAAGAGGGGCAATGAGCTAGGAGGGAGAGGAGGGGTATCATGATGATGATGATGATGATGATGATGATGATGGTGATGATGATGATGACAGTGATGATGACAGTGATGAACATGATGATGCTGCTGCTGCTGATGGTGATATTGTCGATGATGGTGATGATGATGATGAGGATGCGGATGAGGATGAGGATGACGATGATGAGGATTAGGATGCTGATGCTGATGATGTTGCTGATGATGCTGATGATGCCGATGAGGATGATGGTGATGATGCTGATGCTGACGATAATGATGATGCTGATGGTATGCTGGTGCTGCTGATGGTGATGCTGATGGTGATGATGACACTGATGATGATGCCGGTGATTATGACGAGGATGATGATGATGATGATGATGATGATGATGATGATGATGCTGATGTTGTTGATAAGGATGGCGATGGGGATACCAATGCTGATGTTGATGATAACGATAACGATGCTGATACTGATACTGATGTTGATGATGCTGATACTCATGATGCTAGTGGTGCTGATGAACATGATACTGATGATGATGGCGATGCTGATGGTGACTATGATTACCATTATGATGATGATCATCATTCTGCTGATGATGGAGGTGGTGGTGGTGATGATGCTAATGAGCATGATGACGATGCTGATGACGATGACGATGATAGTGATACTGATTGCGATGATGCTGCTGACGTTGATGATGATGGTGTTGATGATTGTCATGGTGTTGCTGATGACGAGTTCGATGCTGCTGATGATGCTGATGATGCCTGTTGAGGCGGCACTGATGAGGCAGACGATGGTGGTTGTGCTACTGTTGTTGAAGGTGCTGCTGATCGTGCTGATGATGGTGATGGTGGCCATAATGATGATGCTGATGATGATGATGGTGATGATGATGGGGACGACGACGATGAAGATGACGATTGCGTCACTGATGATGCAGATGACGACGGCGATTCCAGTGACGATGATGATGGTGATGGTGATGGCGATGGTTATGGTGATTGTGATGGTGATGCTGGGTGATGATGATCATGCTGGTGATGCGAATGACCATGCTGATGATGCTGATGCTGACGATGATGATGAGTATGATGATGATGAATCTGGTGATGATGCTGATGCTGATGCGGATGCTGATGATGCTGCTGGTGATGTTGCTGATGTTGATAGTGATGATGAAACTGATGATGATGCTGCTGATGATGATGGTAAGGGTGATGATGATGGTGATGGTGATAATGATGATGCTGATGCTGATGACGATGAGGATGCTGCTGATGACGACGATGATGATGCTGATGATGATGATGATGATGATGATGACGACGAGGAGGAGGAGGAGGACGAGGAGGAGGGATGGGAGGAGGAGAAGGAGGAGTTGTAGGAGGAGGAGGAGGAGGAGGAGGAGGAGGGACGTGCGGATAGGGATGAAGACGACGGGAAGGGTAGGAGGGGAAGAGGAGGAGGAAGAGGAGGAGGAGGAGGAGGTTGAGGAGAAGGAGGAGGAGGCAGGGGCAGGGACGGGGGGAGGACGGGGGGAGGAGGAGGAGGAGGAGGAGGAGGAGGAGGAGGAGGAGGCGGAGGAGGGAGTGAAGAGTAGGGGTTGACAGCAGATGACCAGAGGGGAGAAGAGCAAGGGAGGAGGTGAGGGAACAAGGAGGGAGGTGAGCAGGTCCTCCTGCTCGTCCCTATACTCCTCGCACTCCTCATCCTCCTCGGCCTCGTCTTCATGCTGACCTTCACCCTCTCTGCCTCTCCCCCCTCGGCCTCCCCTCCTCGTCCCCATATTCCATCGAAACGGGAGTCGGGTTCGGGCCTCTCTCTCTTTCTCTCTTTCTCGTTCTTTCTTTCACGTTCTCTCTCTCCCTCTCTCTCTTTCTCTTTTCTCTATCTCTTTCTCTCTATGGCTCCTTGTCCTCCTTCGTTTCGCCCATGCCCTCCTCGTCCTCGTCCCCCTCCTCTTCTTGTTCCCCCTCCTGCTTCTCTCTTCTCACTCTTGCTCCCCTCTTCCATTCCTCCCCCTCCCCCGAAACATGGGAGAGACAGGAGGCGGGCGAGGAGGATGAGGAGGACTCCCTCCTGTCTCCCTCCTCATGCGCGCTTTCTTCGACTGACTGCTTGGAGTTACACATATATGTATATATATATATATATATGTGTATGTGTGAGTGCGTGTGCACGTGTGTGTGTGTGTGTGTGTGTGTGTGCATGTGAACGTACACGTGCATGCTTGTTGTTGCATGTTTGCTTGCACGTCTGCTTGTACGCATGTGTGCATGTACGTGTGCATGCATCGTTATATTTATTTGTATCGAGATACCTGGAGTCCCCTCGGGGATCATCCGTTGAAATTGGAACGATGCAGGGAAGATTCGCATGGCCCCTGCGCACGGATGACACGCGCAAATCGAGAAGCGTATACAAAACAAACTGTATCGAGATACCTGCCAGGGCTCGTTTCGATTGTTCCGATTCGAATCGATTCGACTTCGTTGGTTTCCGATTTCGATTCGATTCGATTTGGGTTTCCGATGTGGGCTCCGATTTTTCATTGGAGGCACACTAGCCTCCCGATTTCCGCCGATTCGATGTTTCCCGATTCGGCAGCCGATTTCTGCCGATCCGATCTATTTCGATCGCCGATCCGACTTATCGATTCGATTCTGGGGTCGCCTGCCTGCTGCTCACAGCACGCCTGCCTGGCCGATCCTCCGCCGCAGCTCGGAGAGGCCGCCCGCCGCGGCCTCGGCGCCGGCTCCTGCCTGGTGGCGCTCGGGGAGCGCCGCCTGGAGCGGCTGCAGGCCGCTGGCGCCTCGGCGCGCGCGGCCGGACGCACGCCGCCGCTATCGGGCCGGACGGAAGGGGGGGGATTGGGAAAGGGGGGGGTTATATATATATATATTATATATATATATATATATATATATATAATATATATATATATATATATATATATATATATATATATATATATATAAAAAAAAACAGGGCTAGGATCGGGATAAATCGCTCCAGAGCGTTCCGGAGCGCTCTCAGAGCGTTCCGGAACGCTCTGGAGCGGCCGCGGCGCCCAATATATCCTCCAAACCCGCCGATTCTCAGAGATTTCGAGTTATCCCGATCCGATTTTGTCCCGATCTTCGCGTCGTTTTAGATTACGACATCGGCTGCATGCAGCTGGTTTCGGCCTCGCCGAGGGGCCCATTCCTCGATACATGGCCGCCTCCAGCGCAGGGAGGCGCCGGGAAAATCAGCCACGTGAGCTGATTCTCAAACCCCCTCTTTGCTATCCCCCCCTTTCGCCCGGCTCGACGCTACCCTGCGATGCGCAGGATTATGCTGTTCCAACCTACTGTAGCCTTTACCACGAGAAAGAATTTCGAGCCCCCCCCACAAAAAATCCGAAACTCGATGGTTTTCATGTGTCGGGCCCTGGGAGACACTCTCGTCCGACGCTGTTTCCCCACTGTTTTCACACTTTTCCGGGCGCTCGAAATGATTTCTGGGATGTGGTCCTTACGTACGACGGGAGCATCATAAGCGTAGGAGCCGCCTGTCACCAGGGGGACCCCTGGTGTTAAGTTGGACCTGTCCCTCTACAGGAGGAATGTTCAAAACAGTAAAAAGAGGATCTGGGGACGTTTTTGTTAGTATTTCTTTTTTGTCCTTGTGGGCATTGTTTGATTTTTTTTAATGTTTCGTCCAAAATCCCCCTGAAGGAGGACAGGCCCGACTTAACCCTGGTGGCCTTTCGCTGGAGCAACCTCCCGCTGGAGTGACCTTCCTTCCTCTGTCGGGGGTAGACAGAACCCCCAACAGTGACACGTCGATTAGTGAATTGTCCGTTTTCGGTTCTCGAGAGGGCGCCGTGGCCGTTATTTTCGAGGCTTGCGCCCGCCAGGTTTGGGCCTCAGGTTGTTTTCACTAAACCACGTTTTACTAAAGGGGGGTCTGTCCATCCCCGACTCTGGAGCGAGGCTTCGCCGGAGTGACCTCTTTCGCCGGAGAGCGACCTGTCGCTGGTGGGTCCCCCGAGGGCCGAATGATATATGCGATAGCGCAACGGTCTGCGCGCTCCGGGGTTCGGCGCCCGCACGGCTCCGGGAAGTCGCGCACCAGAGGCCCTTCTCTCGGGGGTGTACAGAACCCCTAACAGTGACACGTCGATCAGTGAATTGTCCGTTTTCGGTTCTCGAGAGGGCGCCGTGGCCGCTATTTTCCAGGCTTGCGCCCGCCAGGTTTGGGCCTCAGGTCGTGTTCACGAAACCACGTTTTGCTAAAGGGAGGTCTGTCCATCCCCGATTCTTGCCCAGGGCCACGCGCTCGTGCGCAGCGGAGCCAGGAAGCAGCAAGCGGGTCTTCACGAGGCAGCGTCAGGGGGAACAGGCCCAGAGGCGGGAAAACGTCCGCGGGTCGAGGCGGAAGACCTCCCGAGGTCCGAGGTTTGCCGGCGTGTTTCAGGGGCGAAAGAAGGACGTACATGTACATGAATCCACGCTAGTTTCGAGAGCACGCATTGCACAAATGTTCGTATCACGCGGCCGGTCTCGCGAATCGAGGGGCCGTGTTCATGTACATAGCTGGGCGCGTACGTCCTTTGTGGGCTCCCTAGTCAGGGGGAACAGGCCCAGAGGCGGGAAAACGTCCGCGGGTCGAGGCGGAAGACCTCCCGAGGCCCGAGGTTTGCCGGCGTGTGTTCGCTGCTTCTCGGCGGCCCTCGTCCTCGGGATGCCTTCGGGGTGCCCTCCCGAGAGTGGTCGAGTGGTGCTCGCGTCGTCCCGCACGGCCGCTGGAGGCCGGAGGAGGAGGAGGAGGAGGAGGAGGAGGAGGAGGAGGAGGAGGAGGAGGAGGAGGAGGAGGAGGAGGAGGAGTCTGACCGAACGCGGGACCGAGCTCGTCAGGGCTCGTTTTGATTTCCCCGATTCGATTCGATTCGATTTTGATGGATGCCGATTCCGATTCGGTTCGGCTGGGGATTCCGATATTTGGGTTCCGGTTTCTCACTGGACGCTGCAAGCCTGCCGATTTCCGCCGATTCGACTTTTTCCGACTCGGCTGCCGAGTTCCGCCGATCCGATTCATGTCGTTCGCCGATCCGACTTATCGATTCGATTATGGGCTCTCCTGTCTCGTGACCGAAAGCGCGCTGTGACCGAACCTGTGACCGAAATGGAATGCCGTGCTGGCTGCGAGCCCAGCACTTCGGTCACACAGAACTTTGGCGTCGGTCTCGGCCACGCTCGGGCAGGTTTCCGGGCACGGGCTCTCGGTTACTGCACCTCGCTTGACAGAGACGAGGCCAATCACGTGAGAGTCATGGCCCGAAAACCACCAGGGGACAGGCTCAGAGGGGATTCGCCCACCCCCACCGAATCGCCCACTGATCGCCGACAGGGCCCCGATAGCCCGTCGCCGATCTGTCGGCGATGCATGACCGATTCCGGCTCGAGATCTCCCCTTGAGCAGGTCCGCCTTTGACGTTGCCCTTCCCGTGCGGGTCCTGAGGCGGACGACCCCCGAGGTTTCTGGCATGCTTTGGCTTCCCCGGGCTTGCCAGTCTGGAGCATTTCCACATCCCTGTGAATGGCGTCCTCGTCTCTCGGTGCCGATCTGGAGGATCCCCTCGGTTCTTGAAGAGCGCGTCGCTAAGACTGTCGTCGCCTCGGGCCCGTCAGTCCCAGGGGCAGAAGTGCCTCGGTCGCGGAACCCTCGAGAAGTGGCCAAAAGCTTTGTTATTCGGTCGGACGAGCAACGACTCGATCCATACCCATGCCGTCGCGGTCTGGATCCCGAGGCGCGGCCCCAAAGGGGCGCCACGTTCCGTGCGGGGCTTCCTCGCAGCGCCGCCGGGTGTCCATGCCTGTGTCCGTGGGGTCGCGGCCGCGGGGTCCGCACCGCCCTCGGCCTCCCTCTGTCGCTCCCGCCGTCGCGATATCGATATTGTCTGCACTCTCGCTCCCGCTCCCCTACTCCTTCAGCCCTTGAGGAGGAGCAGGGAACATTCCGGACATCTTCCATATTTTCCAGAGTTTCGTTTTTCCTTCCATTTCACAATTTTTCGTCATATGTTCTTGCGCGTCGACGTTTGTTTATGTCTTCGTCTTTTTCCTCTTCCCGTCAGGAGGAGGGGGGCTCAAGCAGGCGAGTTCCCTTACCCGGGGTTGGACAGTGTCTTGCTTGGACTGGGTCTTGGTTTCACGTCTTGGGGCCGCTTCGAGGCGGCCAGGCTCTAGTGTTTATCACCGGTAGCTTTTCGCTAGAGGGTTCCAGTAGAGGTGAATAGAAAAGACCACAGAAGAGTCTCATAGGGGAGGCGGGGAGCCTGGGGCAGCCACTCGAGATCGTTTGGTCTGACAGCCGCTTCGACCGAGACCGTGCTCTCGTCGCAATGCCGGCTACAAGTTTGCTGCGGACGGCAACCCTTTGTGCAGACGGGGCTCCGAAGAAGGAACCCTTCTCGTTGGGGTGGGACTCCGTGTTCCTTAGTTGTTTCACGCTTTGCCTTAGGTATTCCTTAGGTTTTCTTCGGGAAATCGAAGCTTAATGTGTGGAGAAAAGGGGCCTCGTTCCTTATTCGGGGTCCATTAGGTCAACGCCCCGACTGTACGCCATGCCGCAGGGTGCACGTGGCCGCGCCCACGCCTGCTATATCAGGGCATGAGGCGGGGGTGACTTTTGAGCATGCCTCGCTGCCTGTGAGTGCGCTGCGCTGGCCATCACCACCCGCCAAACCGCCCCAGCCCAACCCGAAGGTCTCGCTCTGCCTCCAGTCGGGGGGGGGGGTCGGGGAACGTCGAGAAAACACGTATGGACCCCGCATCCCCCCCCCCCCCCCCGAACCCGAAATTCGGGCCTTCGGGTTGGGCTGGGGTGGTCTGGTACAGGGCCCGGCTTGAATAAGGAACACCAACTTTTCAAGAGGGGCTCGGTCGTTCCTTTGGTCTGCATGCGTTCCGCCACCTTTTTGGCGGCGAGCCCCCGGTGCTCCTTCGGACTTCCTAGACTCACTTGGTTAAAAAAGGGGCTTCGTTCCTCATTTATCGTTCCTTAGGCCAGGCCGAATACACCCTGCGAAATGCTTTAGAAATCATGGGTTAAGAAATTCATAGTCTCAGAACTTGAATCAAGACCCAACAGTTCTATCAAAATCTCAAGATTCACATTGAAACGTTAAGAATAATCCAGACTTTGGCCGAAAACTTACGTTTTCTTAAGCATCGCCTAAGGTGTACTGCAGGTGGTCAGGCCAGGGTCCGCGCTCCAGCCTCCGGAGGCCTGCCCGACCCGCCCTGGCCGCAGGACGGCCACGGCTCCGACGGCTCCATCGCGGCCCGGCCGCCCTCGAGCGGGCAATGGGCAATATCCCCATCCCTAAGATTGACACGCCAAAAGGCGATGACAATCTTAGGGATGCGCCCTGAAAACTAAGGGAATCCCTAAGATTGGCATCGCGGCGAGGCGATGCCCAGCTTAGGGGTAGGGATATGTTCCAGGCTGGTAAAAGGGGGGCACGGGCCGCGGCGCGCCCGGAGGAGCGCCCGGGGCTGCGGCAGTGGACGCGGGCCGGGTGGCTCCCGCGGAGCACTCGGTCCGTAGACCCCTCGTGCCGGGAAGGACAGCACTGTCAAGCGGTGGCGCAGCGCCCTGGCGTGCCTGTAGTCCTACCAAACAAATGTTCCAAGAACTTTTTTTGGGTGGTTCCCACGAACTGTTCTTAGCACCTTTCTGGTCGGGACTGCCGTGTGTTGTCGCATCGGATGTATGGTCTAAGGACATGGTTTTTGTTCTTAGAGCATGTTTGGGTTCTAGGAGCAATTCGTGGTAGGACTACAGGAATGCCGGGACGGTCGGTCGCTGCTCAAAGCATGCGCATTGCGTTCTGACATCCGCGGACCATTTGCGTTGGCCTGCACGCACCTTGCCGCGCTGGCGTCTCCCGGGGCGTCGTCGACCCGTCTCGCATCTCTCGACCTCCTTCCCTGCCTCCCCCGAGGAGCAGCATAGGCCGGGGAAGGGTTGGAGCCGCCGATCCGAGGAGGAGGAGGCGGAGACGACGAAGACGACGACGACGAGGACGACGACGACGACGAGGACGAGAATCCGATTGAGGATGACGCGAAGGACGACGACGACGACGACGACGACGACGACGACGACGACGACGACGACGACGACGACGACGACGACGAGGGAGGACGACGGCGAGGTGAGGAGGAGGAGGACAGCACAAAGAGGAGGATACGGAGGAGCAGGTGGGACGACGACGAGGGGACGTGGCGCGAAGGAGGGGATCCCCCGCTCCCCTGCGAGGCGTTGGGGCCAGCGGGCGGGCCTGATCAGCAGCCAGCGACGCCCCTCGCGTGATTCGCCGTGTATGCGTCTGTGCCGGAGGCCGGAGGCCCCGCATGTTCCACCATGTGTTCGTCCGCGCCGGATGCTCCTCAGCGAGGGATGCCCGTCATGAGTCATGGCTGGACAGAACCCCCAACAGTGACACGTCGATTAGTGAATTGTCCGTTTTCGGTTCTCGAGAGGGCGCCGCGGCCGTTATTTTCCAGGCTTTTCGCCCGCCAAGTTTGGGCCTCAGGTCGTTTTCACTAAACCACGTTTTACTAAAGGGAGGTCTGTCCATCCCCGAATCGCCATGAAGCAAGCGGGCCCTCAGGGAAGCGGATCTTGTGCTTGTTCTCTGCTGTTTGGTTTCCCGGGGCCCTCCAGCCCCAGGAGGGGCAGCTGGTGCTGGGGGAAGGCCCTGGGGTTCAGGACCCGTATGCCCCTCAGGACTCGTATGTTTCATGCCACAGTGACCCGCATTGCCAGGTACTGCCCTGACGTGATGCAGCCCTCCCCTCGACAGTATTTTTTTGTTTTGCAAGGTTCCGCACCTCTGCGCGCCATTCTGTAGGGTGTGATTTTCTCGCCGTCGCCGCCGCCTGAATTTGGGTCGTGGTGGCGCCAGTGGGTCCCCTGTCCTCCTCACGTTGTAGATATGTGCACTCGTGTTGTGCGTTTTCACTTGCTGATGCTCTTCATCACGCTTGCCGATGCATCGCTGCAGTATCGAGCGTTGGAAAGAACTCCTGACACCCGCCGCGTAGAAGGAGGAGGAGGAATAGGAGGAGAGGGAGTAGGACAAGCTAGGTGCGCTCGCGTCATATCTGACGTCCTACCCCTCCCTCCCATCCCTTACCGTGGCGTAGATCTTTTCTCTACTCGCACGATCGGATGTCGTAGCATGGCATAGATGACATAGCAGAGCATGGTGTCGAAGATCAACGCGTAGCCTGACATAGCATGGCGTGGCGACACCTCCAAGTGGGGGGGGGAGGGAGGGCTTCCGCGTCCCAAAAAAGCAACGAATCGGCACCGAATGCGTAATCACTTCCGATGGTTTCTTCGGGAGGCATTTTTTTTTTAGATTTTGGGGTTTTGGGGCCCATTTGGAATGACCGACAATCTCCATGCCGGGGCATGGGACTCGAAATAATGACGCCAGCGCTGCAGCGGGAGCACGATTCTGAACGAGCGGAAGCGCAGAAATGAGGCCAGCGCTGCAGCGGGAGCACGATTCGGAACGAGCGGTAGCCCGAAAATGAGGCCAGCGCTTCAGCGAGAGCAGCATTTCGGAAAAAACAAGCGCGGAAGCGAGGACATGAGGACGCGTAGCCTGACATGGCATGGCGTGGCGACGCCCCAATGTGAGGGGGGCTTCCCAAAGAGTCAACGAATCGCCACCGAAGGTGCAATCACTTCCGATGGTTTGTTCATGGGGGGGGTGTTTCTAGATTTGGGGCCTGTTTGGAAGGACCGACAATAACCATGCTGGGGCATGGGACTCGAAATGATGACGCCAGCGCTGCAGCGGGAGCACGATTCGGCACGAGCGGAAGCGCGGAAATAAGGCCAGCGCTGCAGCGGGAGCACGATTCGGAACGCGCGGTAGCCCGAAAATGAGGCCAGCGCTTCAGCGAGAGCAGCATTTTGAACACCAAAAAAACTCAGCGCGGAAGCGCGGAAATGAGGACGCGCAGCCTGACATAGCATGGCGTGGCGACGCCCCAAAGTGGGGGGGGGGGGGCTTCCGCGGGCCAACAAATTAACGAATCGACGCCGAAGGTGTAATCACTTCCGATGGTTTGTTCGGGGGGGGCGTTTCTAGATTTGGGGCCTGTTTGGAAGGACCGATAATAACCATGCTGGGGCATGGGACTCGAAATGATGACGCCAGCGCTGCAGTGGGAGCACGATTCGGAACGAGCGGAAGCGCGGAACCAAGGCCAGCGCTGCAGCGGTAGCACGAGGCGGAACGAGCGTTAGCTCGAAAACGAGGCTAGCGCTTCAGCGAGAGCAGCATTTCGAAAACAACCCAAGCGAAAACCCAACTCCCAGGAATCTTCTATGTAAAAAACCAATACGCGGAGGGGGGCCGGACATTTCCTGGACGCTACCAGGGGAGAGAGGAGGTTAGTATTCATATTGTGGAACTGTGGAGACGGGGGCCCAGTGTAAATCCAAGATTCATCAACGATGTTGAAATCACCCCTCGGTTCAAGTTCCCTCGTCATAGGCCACCAAAACGGTTTTGTTTTCATGGAGGAAGTGGCTCCATTGGAAGACAGCCGTTCGAAAATTCGGAACTTTGCCAGGAAACCGTTCCTGGGGCTACAACGCCGCGAATCACGAATGTGCATGGGGCCAAGGCGAGAGCCACATTTTGACAAGGAACCGCCCTCTATCCGTGAAGCTCTTGCAGGGCGAATGTGCGCGGCGCTAAGGCGAGAGCTACGTTTTGAAAACGGCCCGCCCTCCATCCGTGAAGTTCTTGCAACGTTTTAAGACGAGTGTGCGCGGCGTGAAGGCGAGAGCCGCATTCTGGGAACGGCCCGCCCTCCATCGGGCAAGCTCCTGCAATGTTTCAAGACCAGTGTGCGCGGCGAGAAGGCGAGAGCGGCACTTTGGCAACGGCCCGCCCTCCATCGGGGAAGCTCCTGCAATGTTTGAAGCCGAACGCATGCGGCGGGAAGGCGAGAGCCGCATTTTTTGGGGACGGCCCTCTCGCGATCCGTGACATGGTTGCAACTTCTAAGCTTCCGGACCGGACGTGGTGAGGAAGGTCTCAGGCGAACCGCCCCGTCCGCCCTTCCGACCGGCCTCGGGGTGCGACGTGGAAGAGTTATTCATAAGGAGAGGGATGGAGGCGGACGGGCAGTGGAGAGGGATGAGCAGCAAGGGCAGGAGAACATATGTAAGATGGTCCGCGCTCATCTGGTTACGTGACCGCACGTGTAATTCGGCGTGCGTTCTTCTGTATTTCGATACGTGTGTGTGTATATGTGTAATAGATGTCGCCGCCCTGCCAACAATCCTGCGCGTGTGTGAATCAACTTGCAAATTACAGGGGCGCGCCCGCAGATACCGTAGTCGTCTGAGGCATGAGCATCTGCGATCTATCGTGTGTGTGTGTGTGTGTGTCTGTTCGCTTGCTTGGCCACGTAACCCAGCTTCCCCCCACGCCTCCCTCCAGCCTGCTCCTCCCCTGCCTCCCGCCTTCCCCGCCCTTCCCGCTCCCTCCCTCTCCCTCCCCTTCCTACACCCCCGAGAGGTGTTAGGAGGGCCAGATTGACATATGCAATTGTGCTGCCACAGCGGATCCGAGTTCGATACTTCCACATTCCACGCTGACGAGTGGGACCCTTGTCAGGGTATTACGCTCTGTCCTGTTGGTCTCCTCCTAGATGCACAAAAACACTTGATTGAGCCAAGGTCAGGGACCTGTATCTAGCTTTTAGTGCCACTGGGCAGGCCCCTTCGTCACGCATAATATTCGGATGCCGCTCGGGATAGAATCGGAGACTCGGAGTTGACCCCGCTCAGCGCGTAGTGTAGCGATTTCGCTTTCTGCGTGTCTGTGCCCGGTGTCCTGGATCCTGATGCGCGGGTGAATGGTCTTGGTTTTGATACGGGCACGGCGAGATTTGCGGGACAGGATCATGCTGTGGAGGTGCAACACAGACCGCTTCGCGCGGGGCACGGCCAGACGGGCATCCCGCCGTTTGCGCTCGGGTTGTTTGTGGGGTCCCTGGAGACTGTTTTTGGGGTCCCGCGATACACCTTAGGCGATGCTTAAGAAAACCTAAGTTTTCGTCCAGAGTCTCGATTATTCTTAATTTTTCAATGTAAATCCCAAGATTTTGATAGAAGTTCTGGGTTACATTCAATTTCTGAGACTATGAATTTCTTAACCCATGATTTCTTAAGCATGTCGCAGGGTGTACTCCAGGGTATCGGGCCCGCCCGGCGCCCCCCCACCCACCGATCACCTGACCTTGCCGGTCGCGCAGGTCCGAAGGGGCACGCAGTGTTGGTGCGCGCGGGCCTACGTGGGACTGCCCACGGCAGACGCCGCCGCCCCCTCCCCCCGCCGATAATTACCCCAGGCTGTCGCCGAGGAATGAACACCAGACTCCTGGGGCAAAAGGCAGTTTTTGGGTCTTTCTCGGCCCTGTTGAGTCTGATATTGTCGCCTCTCTTGGGAGTGGCTTCTGGGTGCCAGGTTTGGTATCTATGCCCGTGGTGCTGTCTTGTCGGGTCGTGGTCCTGCTCCGGGCTGCACAGATTTGCATGGCCATGCCTGTGCACAGCATCTGGGCACCAACACGATGCCACCAGGAAGCAAAGAGTCATGACGGACAGGGTCCTGAATGCCGTCTCCGTTTTCGGCCTCCCACAACCTTCCCCAGGCTGTGGACCGTCCAGAGAACTAGTGAGGATGACTCAATCGGACGTTCCCATGTCAGGGTTCTGAAGGCTGGAGGACTCCGAGGCTCCTTTGGCCTTCGCCCTCCTTCTGCTTGCAGCCCTCCGCCGCGCCAACGGCTCAGCCCTGACACGCAGACCCGCTGCCGAGGCCCCACCTTTCGGCGACCGCCTGCCAGACCCCGCCCCTGGCAGCCCCCTCGGCCCTGGGGCTCAGGACAGCCCAGCCCGGCTGGGGCTCACCCCCGCCTGCACCCGCCCGTCAGAATCCTGCACGGGAACGAGCCAGGGTGGAAAGTTGGGCCCGAAGGGACGAAGGAGGAGGAGGAGGAGGAGGAGGAGGAGGAGGAGGAGGAAGAGGAGGAGGAGGAGGAGGAGGACGAGGCCGTCCTCTTCAGGAGTCCGGCCCTGCAGGGGCGGGACTCGCCCCCGTGGGCGCCCACCGTCTGAGGCCCTCCGCGCCCTCCACGCCTCGGCGGCCCCCGCGCTCGCGCCGCGCCTCGACTAAGGGGGCGGGGTGGGCGGGCGGGCCACCGCCGCCCCCCCCCCCCTCCCGCTCTTCGGGCGGACGCCAGCGGGAGGCGCACCGTCCCCGCGCCTCCGAGAGGCGGCGTGCTGGCTGCAGTGCAGGGCCCTGCGGAACGCCACCTCCAGGAGTTCATGTTGCCCCCCCCCCCCCCCTCTCCCTTTCACAGATGAACGGCCTGACTGCGGCTCTCTCCTCTCCCCCCTGACTCCACTCCGTCCGGGAGATGTTCGCCCCTTCCGCGTGCTGCTTTTGCATCGGATTTCTCAGGTTCATTTGCAATCCGACTGTTCTCGGTGCTTCTCCAAACGGCGTTTCCGCTGCAGCGTGGGCCTCATGTTCGGATCGGCGCGTTCAGAATGGCGTTCTCTCTGGAGCGGGGGGCACTTTGTTGAATCCGAGCCTTCTCTTCATCGTTGTCGCCCCCCCTCAGTTCCCCTTCTCAGGCTTCCCCTGGTCATCCTGTCCCCCCCCCCGGTCCTACCACTCCAGTTCTTGCTATTGCTGTTCGTCCTCGTCCTCATCCTCCTGCTCGCCCGCCTCTTCTTCCTCCTCCTGTGCACGCAGCTCCCCTTTTCCGGCTTGCGCATAACACGATGTGTATTTCC